AGGGTGAGGGAGAGGGGTGGGTCAGGGAGGTGCCAGGGTGAGGGAGATGCCCGGCCAGGGTGAGGGGTGGGTGTCCCTTACCTGGGAGAGGGGCGGGGGTCCCTGCAGGGTGGGGGGCTCCGGGGGGTCGCGGGGGGCTCTGCCGGGGGGCCCGGTGGCCGCGGCGTAGATGGTGGTGCAGGAGGGGGGGTCGGGGCTGGGCGGCTCCTTTGGTTTCTGCAGGAGGGGGACAAAGGAGGAGCGGTGAGAGGCAGGTCCCCCCCGGGCCCTTCCCTCCCTCCACCCACCCGTTTTCCGCCCAGTTTTGCTTCAACAGGAACGGGAAAAGGGGGAAAAACCGCCCGGAGCGTCCCCAAAGCCACCCTGGAGCGCTGAGGGCGCGGGAAGCCCCAGGACCCGAATTTATTCCCGAATTAACGGCGACCGGGCTGATCCCCGGAACACGGGGGTTGGGGGACCCTCCCTCCTCCCACCCCCGCGATGTCACCCTGTCCCTCCCCAGCCGCGGGGCTCTGTTGACACCCAGTGGCCAAAGCACAGCACCAAAAAACACCTTTGGGTGCTGCCCGAGACCCCCCCGTGGTGGTTTGAAAAAGGCTTTTTCTCAGGAAGTGTCGTTTTTGATACGGGACCAATCGACAGTTTCTGCTGCCTTAAAAATGAAAGACACTTCTAAGTAATACCACAGAAACTGGAAAAAAAAAGGAACTGTGACCTGAGGAGTGACAGAAAGACTTTTCTCTTTTCTTCTTGGACTCTTGGTGAAGAAAAAGAGAAATTTAATCTGATGTAAATATATTATGTAGCAGCGATAGCTAAGTTGTTACCTATATATGAATGTGTGTAAATAAATCTCTGTAAGCATCTTCCCCTTCCCCCCAACGCTGAGTGGTTTTGTTTTGCCTGAAAACCCTCTCACACTGGGGCAGGGCTTGAACTTAAAAATTGGATTTCTGAAGGTTTTCAAACCACCACACACACCCCCCTCCACCCAGGAAACCCCCCGGGGTCGTGCCCATGCTCCCCCTCGGCCGCAGGACTCGGGGTCCTGCTGCTAAAGGAGCATTTCCAGGGCTGGAAAAATGAGCCTTTGGAAAAAGGGGGTTGGGCTGGTGGTGCCTCACCTGAGCTCGCTGGACCTGGGAGTAGATGGTGTGCTCGGCACGGTCCGGGCTGGGCTCCTGCTCGGCTGTGAGGGGGATAATTGGGGTTGGAAAAGCCCTTTGGGATCATCCAGCCCACCCTGTGCCCCCATCCCCACCTCGTGCCCCCCAGCCCAGA